CAATTTATGAATAGATCAAATATAATGTTTGAATCTATGAATTAATAATATTTTAAAAATTAAAATCAACCACCTTTGTTATAGATCAGTTTATTATCTTGACAATGGTAAGAAAAAAGGCATCATTTTATTCAGCTTATTATATAAAGCTGATAGAGGTATCATTTTATAAAAGAGTCCAAATAATAAATGAAAATAAAATAATCTAATTAGAAAGTCACTATTTTGTAACATTAATGAATGAATCAATGCACCTTGGAACTGAACATGAATAGTTGCTATCATCAAAAACCAGAAACAACGAAGAAGGCAAATGAACTTGAAACGACATGCCTACTGATAAAAGGACAACTACTCTTGAGAGACTCCAAAACTACCCTGTAGAACGATCAGAGGACAGAGAAACATGGCAGAGGCTGCCATGTGATACAAACTAGGTCCAGTCCATGCCACTGCCGTTGCCATAGACACATTTTAAGGAAAGAATGGGGCTGATGGGAACTTGTAGATAAGAGACACTGAAATGCTTTAAGTGGATAGTCTGCTCTGTTTTCTGGGGATGCACACACAGGCGGTAGAAACTATATACGCAAACGAGAAAGTGGTTGAAGTCGATGGCAATGGTTACCTTGGGGATGGAGCAGCAGTTAAGATTGAGACAGCAGAGAGGTGCTTCACAAGGCTGCAAAGTTCTAGTTCCCCACCTGGCCACAGAGTCCAAGGGGGTTTTGCTTACAATAGCACATTAAGCCATGCCTTTACTTTGTGTGGTTTGTTTTATATGCATTGTATTTTGTAATAAATATATATTAAGCCAGCACTTACAAAAATGCAAGCCTCCCATTCCCTAAAATGGAATATTTGAATCATTTAGCTAAAAGCTAACACATATGTATTTCATTGGGTTCATAATGAATTTTGGTGTTCATAACTATTTTAGCTTTTCAGTTGAAAATATCTGTAAATTTTCTGGATTCCTTTGCCAAATTGTACTATATTAATAGCTGGACACAAACACTTTCCCATTTTGTGGCATTAAAGAAGTGCCACAAAAATAATGCTTCATTTGGGGTGGTGCCCAGGATCGAAGGCAGAGGCAAGACAATCAAGAGCTCAAAGATAGCCTGGGCTACATGAGTCCTTGTTTCAGTACAAACAGCAATAAACAAACACAAACAACAAAATCTCTCATAAGAAAAACATGTGTCTGTGAGGTTTATGTACCTAGGTCTGAAACGTTATGCGATTGTGTCGTGACTACCTTGGTGAGCAAGTTCAGTTGGTCTCTTAACAGATACTGTGATGTTAGCACCACGGGCAGAAAGAAGTATCAGATTCACACATCTAAAAAGCTAAAATTGTGCAAATATAAACGAGAGGAATAAGTTGTCATGAGATTCTTGTCAGAGTAAATGTATACAACAGAAGAAAATGGTAAAAATTTTTCAAAATAAAGTATAAGGAATAAAAAATTTAAACGGAGACATTATCATATAATACATGATAACCAACACATAAACTGCTAAAATATGCTCACATACGTATATACAGGCTCATGTATGTGTGCAGGTGCACATGTGTGGGTGTGTCCGGGGAGGTGCTGTGTGTTGTTTCTCAGTAGGCATCAACCTTGTTTTTTTGAGATGGGGTCTCTAACTAGGACATGGTGCTTGACAAAGGCCAGGCTGCCAGGTCAGAGAGCCGGGGATCCTGTTCTCTCCAACTCCCTAGTGCTAGGATCACGCCTGGCTTTTTATGGCCCTGCAGATCAAACTCAGGTCTATAGGCTGAACGACAACTGAACCAACTCCCAAGGCCCTACAATAGGGGCTTTATGAATTTACTGATAAAATTCCCTTTTCTACACTATTTATCATCCATTTTTCTTAGACTACATAACTCCTTTGCTCCATGCTTCTAATTAAGATACACACTATTTGTTTAGAACTCCGTGGTGTGAAATTGGGCCAAGCGTTTTCTAATATCCATAAAATAAATTTAAAAATGTTTTCCCTCAGAAAGACAGATAATTTGGTCACAGAGAGTTGATTTCTGTTTCCTTTGTTTTCTTTTCTTATTTTTTTTTAGCAGCTTGGTAAGCCAATTTTCTACTTAGAGTCTACTGTTAAAACTCTCATTTGCTTCACTATGTGGGCTTTATCCTTTCCATGGTCTGCTATGCAAAAAAAAGATGGCTTCAGTTTTTATTTTTTTAAGTTTGCTATAAAGCAGTGGTTCTCAACTTGGATGCACACGAGATCACCTAGGGAACCTGAAACAGATTACTGATGCCCCCTCCTGACCGGAGATTCTGATGGAGGAAGTGTGGCGGCCCAGGCTCAGAAGCTCCGCAGGCGACTGTGATGTTATTACTGGGTAGGAACACTGTTCTAGGATTCTGCCACTGTTGAAATAAAAGCTTATTATCTTTCCTGGTAAGGCCTAGACAAGAAAAGCTTTTTTAAAATTCTATAGTTTAACAGATTCAATTTCTTCTCTATGAAGATTCTTTCCTCTTTTGTTTTTAATTTCAGTGCTTAAAAGCATATTGTCTTATTATTCTGATGGTTTGTTTAAAAAGTCTGTAGCATCTATTCAAAAAGAAACTAAAGGAATAGTCTTGACCACGACTTTCAGCCACTGGTGGCTTTAATTCATGACATGCTAAAAAATGTTCCACTTAAAGATTAATCCTTCGTACGAAAAAGTAAAGCAAGTATTCCCCGCCCCCGCCCCCAAAACATTTATTTACATTTTAAATAGTGAAATTCACAAAAGTTTCTGGAAAGAACTTGACCAATTTTCTGAAGAGTTGACTTTTGATAGAGCAGCTAAAAGGGCCGAGTGCTAAGCCAAAGCCCTGGCTGGGAAAATGGACTGCACACAGTCAACTCTCAGAAGTGAAAGAGAGCACACTGAGGAGAAGACAGGCTTGGGTGGGCTCAGGGGCAGAGTGCTCGCTTACCCGGCATGAAAGAGGCTCGGGGCTAGATCTCTGGTAGCACAAAAAAATGATACTCACATATCATATACAAATTTATAAAAACAGATTCAGATGCTCCATAAAGTGGACACTTTCATGAAAACTATGGGAAACAACTTGACAAAACAGAACTGCCTCCCACAAAAAGACTTAAACAACTCTTTAAAAATGGAATCAGTAACTTATAAAAATCTAGCTCATATAATCCCCTTTGACACTGTTTCAGAGGAAAGAAAAGGCTAGCAAAATCACTCCACAGTGTTAATAAAGGCTTGAAATTAAATCTAGAATAGATAATAAAAGCAAGCAGAATTGGGTACCCATCTCGTCTTTGAGCACATTGTAAAGCCTTTTAATCTTCTCACTATCTGAGTCGAATCAGCCACTCCCTGTAGGCTCCCACTACAGCTTATACACACTCTACCTACAGCAAACTGACACTCTCATGAACCTAAATGTTTTCATATTTGTTTCTCACTGGTAAAAAAAAAAAAAAAAAAACTAAGGTCCTTGAAGGCAAGATAGTTTCCTATTCCTGCCATCTGGGATGAAATACAGAGGTTATGCGAGGTCACACTCAGAGCTACTGGCTACTTCAGGTGGAAACACCATTAATACAGGAAATGGGAAATAATGAGTCGGTGAGTCAGTTCATGTGGCCAGCGCATAGATTTATATAAGAAAATAACACTGCAAAGCTAGGTCAAGATCAGTTTGGGTTCAATTAAAGACTTAAGTGGAAATGACCACTTAAGTCTTAGTCCCCGTACCTGCACTCTTTAGAGCCACCAGGGGGCTGGGTTGAACTCAGATGGTTTAAATTTACTACCTTAAAAACAAGAAAACTAAGGCCAGTTAGACTAGATAATCTACCCAAACCAGACACAAAACTGGGTAAGCTCACTGCAGAAAAATCGGAAGAAAGTCCAGTTCTTAAGGAAGACATGCATACATATCAAATATGAAGTACTAGGACCCTTCAATATTAAAAGGCAGCCTAAAGCTGGACATGGTAGCACATGCCTTCAAACTCAACACTCAAAAGGCTGAGGCAGGAAGATCAGGAGTTTTAGGTTACAAAACAAAACCCAGTCTCCAAAATAAACAAAACTCAAAAGACTGAAAGTTTATGTAGGTGGGAAAAGAGAATGCATAGACCTACTCATTTCATCCCAGAACACTAGTGTGAGAAATACTTCTTAAGTCTGAAGGTTTAGAGGAAAACAGTGGAATAGATTTTCTTTACTCAGTCAAAACTAAAACTTTTAAAAGGAAAGAACCCTTTTTGATAATAAAAAAAGAACACCAAAAGTTTGTGTTTACACAGGTACAAAGTGAAAGCACACACAGTCCACCTGTGTGGCTGAGTAAAGGACCACAGCACTGTGGGAGAGACAGACTGAGAACGCCAACGTGAGCACAGGCTGTGCCCCCAGGGCTCCCATCAGCACCCGGGTCCTGAGGGAGACTGCTGTGCTGAAGCCTCCCTTGCAGCTCCTTGCCCCTCTGACGGGATGCCAGCACAGGGGCTTGCATGGAGCGGGCATTTGCCGGGGAGTTGCTCAGGGTAACTGGTAGCATGGCTTCTCCTCAACAAACAGTACCGGTGCTGACGACAACTGTGAACAGTGATTACAAGTTTGTTGTCTGTAAGTGTTGCTGTGTTATGCATATACACTATTCTTACCAGTTTAACTCTCCTTTTCAAATACTGAAACGACAATACCTAGACGTTAGTAACTCACTCACGCAGAGGGCAAGGTAGAGCAGAATCAGCATATGAACCCAGAAGCCGGTGTTTTCAATCACTGCACAGTTCAGCCAGCCTGAAATTGTCTACTTATGCTCTAGCTACGTTACATTTTAGGATCTCATTTTATATTCTATTTCCTTTTGAATACTTGAAAAATATAAATTATAGGTTTAAAATGTATTCACACATATTTCAGAATAGAAAAACCAGTATTACTATTTTATTTGCACTTCATTAAAATGTATGCATTTGTTTTAGATTTACCTGCAGTCCTCCTTGAGTAAAACCCAGGAGCAGGAGATTGGCTCTGTCCTTCTCAGAAGAGATTGGAGTCCAAGGCCAAGCGCCATCACTGACCAGCGGCCACCAGCAAACAACTACATCCTGAATGGAATTGATAGCTAAGCGACGCTCTAGTGTCCTGTTTGCTGGGCCAGGTATGTCATAATAGGAAATCTAATGGTTAACAAACAAACAAAAAGAAACATGAAAATGTTTTTTTCAAAGGGTGCAAAATAATCTAAGCAGTTCCAAAAACATTGAAGCATCTGTAAATGTAATACACACAAGTAAATATGCATCCTCAACATGTGTTTAAGAGGGTGTCAGAATTTACCAAATTCTTTTGACACATACATAAAAAAGACATATGTTCAAAATTCTCCCAATTTTTAGCAGAGGAAAGGGGAAAAAAGAAATGTGAGTTAGGAGGGAGGAACTAGATGTAGCAATTCCAATCAATACTAAAATGTACAGTCACGGTTGCTTGACAGCATCGACCTACACGTAGGGTTTAGGATCAGCTATAGTAAATGACAAGTTCAGTACTGCTGACCAAGAGTGTCTGGCTACTATTTAAGACACAACACAGTAACAATGACTAACAACAATAAAGGGAAAAAACAACCTGAGGCTGTTAAATATCTCTTCAAAGAATATATGAGACGTATACACACATATTCTGCATAAAAGGGATAAGCCATGGCATCGTACGTGAAAGTTTATGCAGCTTCTGAGAATTACACTTCTCTTTCTTAGGAAGGATTTGTCGAATTTATTATTCAAACTATGTTATTTTGGAACATGGTTATTTGAAAACATAAGCACGGCACCATCTGGGTGACACATGCCAAGGAAATATAGATTGCACCGTATTTCTGCTTAAGGAATTAATGGAAGGTTGATAGCTTGGAAGGGAAAAAAACTATCTTGCCATTGCTGGTCAGCAATAATCGAACCACTTTCTGGGGATTAAGCGCATGGCTAAGCCTACTGGACCAGACACTAGCAAAGGGCAGGGGGTCTTCTTATCAGAGAAATGCTTCTGGAGCCAGCCTCACTACATGACAGATTGCTTTCATATTCCTGTCTGCAAGGCAACAAAGGATGGCAGTAATGCGATAATGCCAGAGTGCAATGGGTGTTAAGAACCCGTTGCATTTATGTATTGTATTTAGTAAATAATCAGGCTCATCCAAATTGTGATCTCACCACTCAACCAAGGCCATTAAAATCAAGGTTAATGCTTTAATAATCCTCTGCTATTTTTTTTCCAACATGGTCAAAAGGAACTCTTTTCTATTTGCATGGCCATAATATTATTGACCTCTTCATCCTCTGAATACACATCAAAAGGAACCAAATCAAAGTCATTACCAGTGTTGTTCTCTCAGAGCAAACATTTAAGTCCTTGCACTGCCCCTCAACTGGTAAACTGAACTGAATTTTAAATGTGGACAGGAAAGCTTGTTAAAGGTCAATACTACTAGGATATTTACCCTGAAATTCTCCCTGTCAAAATTATTTCAGTGTGAAATAATTAAATTATGGTATAACTGGAAAGAAAATCAGAATTATAAATACTCAATAACAGTTCTTGTTTTAAAATCCAAATGGACATTGATAAAACAGATGCACTTTATGTTTTTAAGTATAACTACTTATAGTTAAGTTTTTGATGTAATTATTAAAACTTCCTTCTTATTTGAGAAAAATATTATAATTGCTAAATATTTAAAGACACATGTACACTATATTTTGGTATCCATCCTGCCGTGTAGGCATGTTACAAATTTCCAGATGATAAAGACAAGTTAAAAATGAGTGATTGGCATATTCAGTTTTTGTACAATACAGATCAGTTGCTGTTTGAGATTTTATGTTTCCTGTGAATTTGAAAGGCATTGCTATTCTGCCATGATGCTCAAGAGAACAGGGAAAATGGGCAAGTTTCTTACACTAGCCTTCCAGTTGGTAAATGATGGCATTCACTAATTATATGTTTTAAACATTGCAGTAAGAAATGAAAATCATGGTCTTTCCAGAAGGAAACATATTCCTCTATTGTGTAGCAATGAAATGGAGTGCCAATAATTGCCAAAGTCTAAAGGCAGAAATACTGTGTTAAATCCCCTATTTAAGCAAGATAGACCCAAGGATTAGGCCTATTTTTTATATTTTTTTCTTTAAAAAGTACCTGACACCCTCAGAGTTTCAGCTCTCATTAGCTACCATCTTTCAGTCAAGAATACATCACTCAGTTACCTATCATATCTGAAACTAGTCATACAAGATTTTACATAATAAGGTTAATAACACTTTAAATGGCTTTAGCTAATGAAGAATGGTACATTTTTAAAAATCAACATTAGGAAAAAACATTTTAAAATCAATATAGTTTAACCATTTGGGGGAAAAGCAATGCTGTAATAATATTAAATGGAATCTTTGATTTTTGACTAACTAAATATAATACATGAATATCATAAATTGCCAATTAGAAAAAAATCATTATCATGTAAATTATATAGAAGCTCCACAAATCTGGCATACTAGCCATATTGTATTTTATTATCACAATGAAAAACTTATTTTAGGTAACTTTTTCCATGTTAAACTCTTTCTTATAAGAATAGATATTTCTAGTAAACAAATTATATATTTCCTATACTACTATTACCACAATCATCATAAATAACAATTCCAAAGTGCAGAAAGTTAGATACAAAAAAATAGCTTCTGAGCACACATACCAATTACCAGCTACAGGGCTGGCTTTGCCTCTGGCATACATGTGCATCATTTTTAAGAAAGCTGTATATCAGCTCTGTTCCCACTGAACAGTGAACTGTCTCAAATCCACGTCACAGAGGCTGGATCAATCTTGCAAACACAAGTCATTGCTGAAAAGATGCCATGAACTGAAACAGCCTGGAAAATGTATTAGATGCTCACCCTTGCAGAGAGTATGCCTTTCCAGCGGTTAAAATGTAATGTGGAAAATTTAAGCACATCATTTAAACTAAAAATCCTGCCTTAAAAGATGTAATGTCCATGATACAGGGAACAAATTCCCTGGGGTTAGCAGAGGGAGAATGACTAGCACACCTGAAAGAAATGTCCTTGTGTACATTTCCTCTGTACAGTGGGGTGGGATGTGAGCGTCTTCCCATTACTTACTGCAGTTTCTATTAATCTCTGAAAGACCCTTCTTCCTTCTTTTCTTTCTCTGAGTGAAAACCAGAGTAGCTATATGAATACTCAGTGGAACGTGAGAATGAAGTATCTACAACATCAGCATGAGAGCCAGCTATGCCCTCCATAAGCTCAAATACGTCATCATTAGGCCTCCACCACAGGAAAGGTGCAAAGGTAGATTCAGGTTTCCCCAAACCCACAAACGTTCCAGAGTAAAAACCATGACATTAACTCATGCAATGCTCTAGTGTGCCTTAATGAGTAGTAATATGACTATATATATTGAAATTTCTACCTTATAATCCAAGGCTGAGAGTTTTTCCAATCTCTTGTTTACATCAAGAGAATCCATCTTCTTTGTAAACTGAATAAAACATAGTTTGTTTTGTGCCAAAAATGATAAGATGATGAAACTGTCTGTAAGAAGAGCTAAAACAGGGATTTAATGATCCCAAGTTAGAACAAAGTTAGAACAAGTTGATACATATCCACTGAAATATTATTAAAAGATACTGTCAGAAAATAAATATTAATTGAAGTTACTAACATCTCCCAAATATATACTGGATGATGTTAAAGATAGGAGATATAAACAATAACCATCAATACAATCGTAAGGATTTGGTATTTTCCTCTCTTTTTCCATGACTATTTCCATATAAACTAATGTTTGAAGACCACCACCAAAGAAAGTATTTGGAAACCAGAGCACAAAACACATAAAAGAAGCTGGGCAAGGTGGTACATACCTTTAATTCCATAACTTGGAAGGCAGAGACAGGCAAAGTTTGAGGCCAGCCAGGGATACACAGTAAGAGCCTGTCTCCTCCCCCCACCCCCGCCAAAAAAAGGCATAAGAAAGATTAAAGAGACCTTTATTTGTGTTTACGTACTATTTCTACATTCATATATTCATGTAAGCCATTTGAGAATAAGTAGATTGATGCTGATCAGTATTCTCTACCAACCTTATTAGTTTTTTTTTTTTATTTAAAATTTTTCATCTATAGCTAGGTGGTGGCACACGCCCTTAATCTCAGCACTAGGGGGCAGAGGCAGGCAGAAATCTGAGTTCAAGGCCAGCCTGATCTATGGAGTAAGTTCCAGGACAGCCAGGGCTACACAGTGAAACTCTGTCTTGAAAAATCACACACAAATCCCTCTTTTGAGGACTTACGAACTGGGTGAAATAAAGTATGCTATACCCAAATGTATATATTATATTAATTAATATTTAATAATGAAGATCAGCAAAAAATACTTGTACAGCTTTATTTCTAAAGAATATAAGCAGGTAGATAGTATCACAGGTTATATGCAGAGTCATTACTATGTGAACTGCTCATAGGCGCAAAAAGAAATTACTAAACATTGTCTATACTTCTCTCCATTCCACCTCTGCATGCACATGCAGTGAGCAACAGTGGATCTGTACAATCGCCGGAGTCTCTGGAGAGCTGCCAAGAAACCACATTGCTATCCTGTCCCTTGAGAGTGTATTATTTGGGTAATAAAATAATAGAAAGAAACACGTGAGAAAGGGCAACTCCGACAGAAGAGTGTTGGAAGTTCCCTGTTCAGTCTAACAAAGAACACAAATATGAGAAACAATCATAGTCGGTGTTATTTGCAAAGTCAATGAAGGGTTTAATGAGAATATGAAACCAGAGCACCTCCACAGAGAAATCCCTTGGCATCATACCCCTATGTGGTGGAGGAAGTGGCAAGCCCACAATCCTATGTCCACCTGTTGTTATCAGTGGTGTTGCTAATTGTAGCCATCCTGCAGAGCACTTTCTTTCAAGTCTGCAATGATGCCAGGCTGTCCTCAGAAGCGCTGAGTGTACCTATGGCAGAAGGGGGCTTCCCACTCACCTCTGTCCTCTCTGCTAGACCACATCTTCCTTTCTTACTCAGTTTAAGACACTGGTTTTAACCCTTCATGATAATTTGGCTTGTCTTTAGAGTTTTTTCCTCCAAATAAAGGAACAGAATCTTAAAATCCCGAGTCAGCATAGTAGAGCAGAAAGTAGGTCAGAACTTGTGTTCAGATCTTAACTCAGCCACTTCCTAACTACATAAGCCTGACCATTACTCTGAATAGCTCATCTTCACCTTCCTTATCTACTAGAATGAAAATAACCATATCTTATATAGCCCTTTTCTCGAATTAAATACAATGGCACCCAGCATGGAACCTTTATAGCTCAATAAATATCAGTAACCTTCCTACTCAATAAATGGCTTAAAATCTGTTGAATGTGCTTTATCCCAACCATGCACGGTGTTGTCACCTAATAGATCTGCTTCCCTGGTGTATCTGGCATTGACTTTTGCTACTCAGAAAGTATAACCCCGCATTACTCAGAAGCTAGTATTCATGAATGAGTAAACACGCAGCTTCATATAGGAAGCAAAGCACTCAGGGTATTTCACTAGTGCCTGCCTTGGCATATTTGTGTTATTTATGTATAATTAATTCATTTGGAAAAATTTGAATTGTCAATAACAAAGAAATTATTCTTAATGAATGAGAAAAGTGTACTTTAAAATTATATTCAAAAATGTTAAGGAAAGATTAGAAAGTACTTAGACTCTGAGCCTAACACTTATCAAGAAGAAAAGTGCGCGGACATTAAATATTAGTTGAAGCCTGTTATTGGTCCCAGGGGTTGTAAGTATGCTATTACAAGCAATTACTTATTGTGTTTGCAAGTCCCCAGTGGTAATAATTAGTCTACCTGTTGACAAAGTATTTCTCCTGCCCCACTGTTAATGTAGGCAATTGATTTGCACACAGGTGTAATTACCATCACTGATGGTGTCTGAGATGAGCTTTCCCACCAGGCTTCTGTCAATCACCACTTTCTCCAGCTGAGGCCCAGAAAGGCTTAGGGACACCAACACACCTGAACCAAAGAGGAGCTAAAACCAGGTAAGGGGGAGAGAAGAAGATATGCTGAAAATTAGAGTCTTTTAAAAATCTCTTTCTAATCATACAGTTCACATAGACATTTTCACATGCATTCAAACCATGAAATCTCAGGTTCTCTTCTCTGAAAGGCAGTCACCAGCATTCTGAGTGTGAGACAGGCAGCTCAATGCACAACACATTAAGTGCACTAATGAAAGCAGTCTGCAGAGATTTCATGTGGTCCGTGTTGATCAGACACCTAATCTTCTAAATGCTTAAAAAGTGCCATGCAGAAAGAACGGCTTTGTTTTGTACTTAGAAAATGTAAAGTGTTGTGTTCAAACACGGAAAGGTGAATGTTTATATCAGAAACTTAAAACTATTTCTTGAAGTTTGGATAGTCATTGCTGCTCCTTGAATCCATGAAGCCATGACTACAATATAAACAGCTAATTTGGAACTTAAGCCCTATTCACTTCCCCAAATAAAGATTTTATAACAAAAAACATTAAAAGAAATATAAAGCAAGGCAATTAGGTAAACCGTTAAAAATCTTAAAGACCTATGTAACCCGCAGCATCAATAATTTCACAAGGAAAAACAAAAAGAGTAAAGTCTCCGGCCTTCCATGTCAGTGTCCAGCAGCTGTTCAGAGAAGAGGGCTGGATAGAACCGTTATCATTTTACAGTACTCCTTTCCATTTGGAGCAGCATAATTCATTCATCTCCAAATGTTTAAAACTTCTGAAAGGACTCTGCATATGTGTGTGCTTGTTATCTATGAGATTTTGAAATATCAACATTGGAAGAAATTGTTTCACCTTCAAGGCAACAGACTCAAAGCTGATGAATCATGGAATAGCATATGGCATAAGAAGAAAAAAAACCAATTGTTAGTAAACTAATCATGAACATGCCAGCCAAACTCAAAGACAACTATGACTTAAACAACACGGGGAATCCCCCGCCCACCTAGGCATCATGTCCCAGCTAGTGACGATGATTCTCTGTTAAGACAAATTTGGACATGTGTGAAAGATGAGCAGCATGAGGGACCAGAGTCCTTGGGGGAAGGGGACCACAGTTGCCCTACTGTTAGAATCTCTGTCCAAGGCAACAGAAATCTTGCTTGTGTCTGACTTATAGACTGTTCTAGTCCATGCCCTTGCCTCTGCAGAGCCACAGTGGGAGATGGGAAGATCAATCATCCTTAGCAGTTTGGAAATAAAAGAAGGCACACTTGTTCCAAGAGTTACAAAATACTTCAGAAGTTAATTAATCTCTACTGAATTAATCCAGCCTTACTACAGATCTTGATAGCAAATGATTCACTATTTCTATGGGAATTTCATAGCACGTGGTCTTCGCTCCCCAAATTTTCCCTTCTCAGATATTCAGAAAGACATGACGTGAGGCTCAATTTTCTTATCTGGTTCTTCCCTTTCAAGTTTGCTCAAAACATCACTAAAATATGTCCTTTCCTATTTATTTTTCTTTATAAAAATTTATACCTATTTTCCTAAGCATGCCTTCTCTTAGTCACTGGTGACTTTTTTCTTATGTTACTGGCTTGGCTACATTTATCTCTGTACCTGCAGTGCTAGGCACATAGCAAGCACTCAGGAAATATGTGGAGAAAACTCATAACTAACTCATTATCATATTGGATAATATACTTAGAGGAAATTTAACGTAACCTTCCATTTTCACATGATGGAGATACACCTGCAATCTGTTAATCATGAGCCTTGGCTGGGAAAGAGCTCAATTGGTAGTGTACTTGCCTAGCATGCAGGAAGATCTGAGTTCTTTAAATTCTCTTAATTAATTTTATTTATTTTGGTATGCATATGTATATTAACATGCTAGTTGTATGCATGTGCTACAGCATGCATGTGGAGACCAGAAAACAACTTGTAGAACTGAGTTCTGTCCTTTCTCCATTAGATGGGTCACAGAAACCAAAGACAGACTGTAGGCTTTAGGAGAAACCTTTACTAGCTGGGCCATCTCACCAGCCCAGAGTTCTCAGTTCTATATCCAGCACGGAATTATCTGGGCATAGTGACACATGCTTGCAATGAGAGCATATTCAAGGTAGAAACAGGAAAATCTGAAGTTCAAGGACATCCTTGGCTATTTAGTTGAAGGCCCGTTTGGACTACTTGCTACCTGACCTTATCTCTATAAAACAAAAACAAACAAAACAAAATACATGCAACATAGAGCTGAGTACTGCCAGGGATCAGAGGCTCACTACATCACCTGACAGCTACCTTAATTAGGACAACTCCAGTTGATTTGACACATGAGGAAGGACATTCTTCTGTTTATTTAACAAACCCTGAATGTTGATTATATGACATACCTGCAACTAAATGCAATGGCTCAAAAATTAATTCAAGACAATCCTTAAAGGTGGTTAAGCAGGCTAATAGAAAAGACAGTAGGTGTAATAAAGTAGTGGCACCAAACCTATTACGCAGTTTGAATACACGTGGGAAACTAAGGGGTGAACCTGGAACTTGAGGTTACAACTAAAACTGCCTTAGAACTTTGGTCTCAACCTCAGTTTTCTTCAGTTGCATATCTGCATATATTCAAAGACAACGGCACAACATTTAGAGTATGACTCTGAAATCAGCGGTGACTAGTTATGTGACACTGAGTTACTTAACATCTCTGTATCTTCATTTTCTCACCTGGAAGAAGACATGATACTGTCCTCCTCACAGGATGAGGGTTGAGTAACTTGATTAACAGATTTGTAATAGTGCCTGGCACACTGTTTGCTGCTGTCAACCATTTCTATGAGTTCTCATTATACTGCTCGCCATCTCTGAAGCCATTTTTGTCTTAAAACTCAGCACCCATGTTGGACTCAGGATTGGATATGAAACACTGGCCTCCAGGTGACTGAGTTTTAACTTTTATTTATTAATGGTGTGTGGATACAATGTGAGTGTGTGTAACATGTCCTATGACAGACATCCCATGGGGTGTCTGCACATTAGAGGACAACTCTTGGGAGGTGGTTCGTTTTCTGCCCGGGGTTCCAAGAACCAAACTGAAGCCAGCCAGCTTTGGTGGAAGTGCTTTTACCCACTGAGCCATCTCATCAGCCCTCCGTGTGCACTCTAGTCAGAAAGGGACAACCTTTTGACGCTTTTCCAATCTGCAATGACTTCATAAGGGCATTTACCTTCAAGCTTCAGAACTTTGGAACTAAATTTGTCCAACTTTCTCAGTTCTTTCTCTATATGTTCTGTTTTCACCATCATTACCATGAAAGAATTCTCCTCTTCTGACACAGATGTTCTACAGTCTATGAAACCATGCTATGCTATAAAATTCATTTCAAAAGGCTGATTTTGTGAAGATGGAGAAGAAACATGAAACCTAGGGGATTGGGTGCAAGAGGCAATTGATATTGGAAAAGATTCAAAGGCCAGAATGTTCCAGAGCAGGAGGAAGTGTGCATATATCACATGATATCTGCACATGGAGATGGTAGCAGTGACTTGTGCACTTGAGTATTCCATTGGGCCCTTTGACAGAGTTATTCATATAGTCATTCAGCCCACACACGTATATTCAGTGTATTAAATGAGCCGTGCACTATTCTAAGTACTCAAACTACATCAGCGAACAAAGAAGCAATGTCTTGGAATTCCCTGTCCTCGTGGATACAAAGAATAACAAATAGTTCAAATATAGCAGTTAGTGATAAGCTGTATGGAAAAAAAGCACAGCAAGATGGAGCTTCTAGGAGGAAGCTGCTGTAAGCATGATGAATAATAAACAAAAAAGGGCCTTCTTGAAGAAATGCCATGGGAGTGGAGGTTCAAAGAAAGGGGAGGGATTAAGTACCTGGAGAAATGGAACTTAGGCAAAGGAACAACAGAACACAAACTCCGAGGCAGACTATGCTGTGCATGACTAGGGAAAGCTGCCCCATGTACCTGAAGGGGACCAAGAGACAGGGGTCCTCACTGACAGCAGTGTACAGAGGGAGTCAAGGGCCAGCTCTTCCACTGGAGCTTGTTGATGAGAAGACATTACATTTTAGCAGAAATCTATATTAAGTGAGGGAAGGGACAAAAGCATGTAATCCATTGGGAAAATCTTCCAGTCACCCCAAGAGAAGATGAGGACTTGAACTGGGACAGCCATACTACAGAAAATGATGTGGACAGTCTTAGGATAGCCCATTGTCCAACTTACTGACAGCCTATGGGCTACACGTTGCCAAGGATAGCTATGAATGTGGCCCAACTCCAAGTGGAAGCTTATTGAAAACATTATGGGATTTCTTCATTATCTATCTCTGAAAACTCAATTGTGTGGTTCGTGAACATAAATGTAGACAACAACGTCGTATCTCAATGTCAAAAGGTTGAGTATGCCTGTAAGAGTATCCACTAGTATTTGTGAAGGATTGAAATGTGGCATGCTTGGCCTAAGCAACATAGTTTACTGAGGTAAGGAATGTCAGAGGCAAAATTTAGACTATGGAGCATGAGGAGCTTGGTTTTCAACAAGTTAAGTCGCCTATAGCATGATAAGTGAAAATAACCTTGTAAAAAGTAGAAATGGAGTCATCAACAATATCATGGCCACATTTAACACAGAAACAGTTAAACTCTCTTTAAAATTTAATGGAAAGGGAGAGAGGTCTAAAGTCTGAGCTCAGGAGTTCCTAGTGTTCATTGGGCTACATGTGTGACACCAAGAGAGCTTCTTTTCTGAAGCTTCATTTCCTCAGCTAGAAAAAGAGACAATACTGTGTATTCCATAGGATGAGGATTGAACAACCCTTTTTTTCCCTTAAAGATTGAGTCAAGCTTCTTAGTGAAAAGAGGTTTGGGTACCTATTAAAATCAAGGTGTGCTCACCATTTTTGATCTCTAAGTGTCCTGTGACTAAAGTCATCCCTGATATCAACTTTTGGGAATATGAAGATACAAAATAATTAATGAGCTAAATAGTGCATTTTATGAGCCTGTTAGGG